AGAAGAATAGCTGCTGAATAAATGCAAAAAGAAGAGAAAACAAAGGAACACAATTCTTGGCCTGCAGGCTTACAATCTGACTGACTTACATGATGTGAAGAAATGGGGAATAAAAGGGGAAAGTAACTTATAGGACCAAGCTTCTGTGGGTTTTGTGCAGTAGAGCAGCAATATGACTGTTATCTCCTACAGAAATTACTTGTGAGCCAGATACAACACTTGGATACCAAATTGCACGATTATTTCTGCTCAAAGAACGCCATACCAATGGGCACTTTCCACAGTTATGTGTTCACCAGGTTCAGCCCTAGGCATTATTCTGAGACTGTGACATAGAAACAAATAGTGCTCCCCAGTGACACAAGGCAGGGCACATAGTACCTAAAGCCAGAGAAGTTTCATGTTGGTCCATGAAAATCCTACCAGTACATCTCTGTTCCTTTCTCTCTCCTTCTCCCTCTCTCAGTAAAAAACAAAAACAAAAAAAAACAAAAACAAAGATTTTCTGGTAGTAAAATTTGCTACCTGAGGCAACTGCCACCCTCTGCCTAATTGTTCTAGCCCTGACATTTATCCTTGACACAGACAAACACAGAAACTCTGGAATTCAGGTCCCAAAATACTGATGCATTTCATGTCATGAGACAATAAATATGATTATGTAAAGAGACACAATACACTCAGTGTGCGAGCAGAAGACAAACATGAACAGACAAACCTAAAATATTCATAACGACTATAAATGTAAGAGCTCATCTGACAAAGCCTGTAATTTAAAATGCCTTTGAACACAGGGACAACCTATTTTTCTATGTGCCCTACTTTGTTTATTTTTCAGGGTGGTACTTAATTACCATGATGCCCCTGAATGTAGTCTCTGGAATGTGGCTGCAGCTGTTGCAGCTGTTCAATATCATGAGGGTTTCCTTATTAGCAAGAAGCAGCAAAGGAAGCCACTTTATTGCTTATTCGTGGATAGTCATGGAATGTGTTGGACAGGAGATGTTATGCGTATCAGATGGCACAACTTTAAAAAGTCAAACATGCTGGAGGTTGCCTCAGGGTGAAGTAATGCTGGACTTGCACTGAAAATATTCCATAACCATGCTGTCATTCAGCAGCCAGGTGAGAGCAGTGACAAACATTCTCCTTGTCCCCAATGGTGGCAAATTTACCGGTGTAGCTTCCCAGGTCAGTTTCTAGCATATCTAGGAAGTGAAAGGACCAAAGAACCTGTAGATAATTTTGTTAGTCAGTTGTGTGCTGTCAAGTCAGAATTGATTTGCAGTGACCCTAATAGGGCTTTCAAGGGAAGTGAGATATTTAAGGAGTGATTTTATCACTTCTGCACCTCTAGCGAGTTTCCATGGCCAAGTGAGGATTCAAACTCTGTTCTCCAGAGTCCTGGCACACAATTCTATTCACTACACCACACTGGGTACTTCTGTGGATAAGTTGCTGCTCTTTTTCTTGCCTTTTCTGCACCTCATCACTAGTGTGGCATTTTTTTTTATTTTTATTTTTTTATGGCAATGCCATGTTTCTCCTGCCATTGGGGACCAAGGTGCCTACAAATAGATTAGAAATGTATGCAAATAAAACATAACACACACATAAAACATAATAAATTGCAACATTAAAGAATAAACACATAATAATATTTAAAAGAACAGTAATTAAAAACACTTGAAAGCTAATGACAAAAATAATAATGTCCAATTTCTTTGCCACCAACCTGGCTAAATAAGGTTTCCCAAGATGGACAGAAGAGAGAGAGCAACTTGGTACACACAGTATTCAAAGTTTCCTTTGGCATCCCTGGAGAATCTCCGCAATAGGCGGGCCTTTCCACCACCGTCTCCAGCAGCACCCCTGCCACCTTACCATGGAGCACATAACTTCTTCACTTATCAACCCTGCATTCCAACTGAATCCATTTTACATCTATACAATTTATACATTTTTACTGTCTACAGACTAACTGCACAAAATCTACAGACACAGCAAGAATATTATACATTAGGTATGTAAATCCTTACTTGTACACATGGGCAAAGAACCAACAAAATTGCTCTCCTTGCCTCACAAGACGGTGAAGTATTTTGTGGTGCTCTTAGCAAAGGAAGAGAATAAGAATTAAGTTTTGATGCAGATTAAGCAAATGAACATGCCTACAAAGCACCACAAGATCACAAAGCCTGGCGAGGACTTCTCTAGTTCTTTCTGCATCTGTAACATGTGACGAGCACTTTTTCTCCTGGAATTTCAAATCACCTATAGATAATTGTTAACGGAAAGAACATTCAGAGAAGATGTGGGTGGGGGGACAAGGAGCAAAACCTAGCACATAATGATAAGCCTAACTGCTATGGAGGCCCAAGACCAGCTCCCCGCAACTGGCTGATGTAATGGTAGAAGCAACATAAAAGAGTAGCACTGGAGGAGGTCGGCTTAGTAATATGGCATGGAAAGCTAGTAAGATGACATTTTTCAGCTGATCAACAGATTTGTCTGAAGTGGCCAAAAACACATTATTTCCAGAAAGAAATACAGAATCAAAGGTCTTTCTTGAAAGCCAAAGAAACTTTAAAGGGCAAACCAACTGTTCTGCACTGTGTATAATTACAATGCCATGGGTGATTGGAACAAGGTCAGAAATCCATAAATACAGCAAAACAAAGCAGCACCAGAAACTGTGGATATTAAAGGGTGAATCAAGCAAAACTTCGTAGTCCAACATTCTAAAAGCATAGAAACAAAAATAATTTTTTTAAAAAATGCTTTTTAGAGAAATGCTGTTAAACTGTTTATAGTTAAATGTAATATAATAATTATGCATTGTTAAATCAATTCTGACTTACGGCAGTCCTTTTCAGGGCTTTTCCAACTACAGAGTGCTCAGAAGAAGTGTACCGTTCCCTTTTTCTGGGGGCATCCTGACACTATGCAGCTTGCCCAAGGTCACACAATCTCGCTCTACTCACATGAGGCACAGTGGGGAATTGGACTCAACTACTGGCTCTGGAGCCAAATACCTAAGCAACTGAGCTAGCCATGCTACTATCCATCCAGTTTTGTTTGAAGAAAGACCACTAGCCCAACTAGGTCTATAGTGTCTGTTTGCTGCCTGGCAAAAGAAACTCTTCAGAACTTCATACAGGAGGCCTTATCAAGCCTATATGGAGATGTTAGGACCTCTGGGGCCCTCTGCATGCAAATTATGAGGTCTGCACTCTGGCCTTCGCATGTGATTGTACTTATATTTATGTATAAATATTTATGTACTACTTAGAAAGACTAAACAACCCAAATTCTCTTCATGTCTACTGTGAAATGTATACAGATCAAGTCTTATTGTTGGTTTGTCACTGGTGCCATCTTCATCATCCCCCACTGCAAACAGAGGAAGGGGCACTGGATTGAAAAAGAACGGTCTACCTAACCTCAGCAAAAGCACCTCCTTCTGCACCTGCACTGTGTTATTTAGTGAAAAGCCATCACTAAATCCAAGATGGCGGAGCAAATATCATGGAAAACAAAATAAATACTAGCCCAATGGTTAAACCTTAAGGCCTACATTGAAAGAACATCAGGCATAGGGCATACCACCACAAATACCCTGAGCACAGTCAATCTGTCGGGTTTCAGAACCTAAGCAGGTTGGATGGGCGAATGCCTTAGGCAGGCACAGCTGAACCCTTTAGGCTAGGTGGACAATAGCTCTGACTCAGCACAAGGTAACTTCCTATGTTCATCTGCTCCTAGTCTTAGTTTATAGGGAATTGCTCTATGAAAAAAACCAAAAGACAACAGAGGTACGAAAGACCATTTCAACTGCAGAATGTACTGCCATAGCAGCATCTGTTGTTCCTCCCGGTGTATGATTTCAGAGAAAAGGGAAAACATGTTCAAGTTTCATTTGAACCAAGCTAATCTGCTCAGGCACTAGGGAAAAGGACTGAAGCCTTTGAGGAGTTCTTTAGCGTTAAGAAGAGGTTGAAGATTCAGTTAATGTTTCCAACAACATAGGACAAAAACAAGATTTATTCTCTTTCTTGAAAGCTCTTTGAGCAGGTGTCTTCAAATGAAATTGTCTTGCTTTCTCCTTTGTACATTATTACCAACTGCAAGGAATCAGCTGGAAGTTGGCTCTTGCCAATTTTGTTGACAGCTGGATGTAATCACACCTCAAGATGAATGGGCAGAAGTTTTAATCATTGCCAGAGAATGAGGCAAAAAGCTAAAATAGCACTGCCAAGGGTACACGTGTGGACTTCCCTATAAAGGCAGTACAGCTAATCACTTCCGTCTTAGCACCAACACCTCAGCCTCTTCCAAAACAGAGGGCAAATGCCCCTTATGCACGTGCATTTTTGTGTAATCACACCTCAAGATGAATGGGCAGAAGTTTTAATCATTGCCAGAGAATGAGGCAAAAAGCTAAAATAGCACTGCCAAGGGTACACGTGTGGACTTCCCTATAAAGGCAGTACAGCTAATCACTTCCGTCTTAGCACCAACACCTCAGCCTCTTCCAAAACAGAGGGCAAATGCCCCTTATGCATGTGCATTTTTGTATATAAAATAATATAAAATGACAGCCAAAGTAGAGGTTATCTACACAGATTTTACAAACATCAAGTCCAGATGTAACATAGCATGTATTTGTTTTTATAATGAGTCTGTACAGCTGCAACCATATGGTAGTTTATAGGAGATGGCCTCTCAAGCAGAATAACAAACAGATTTCAATTAATGGGATGATTGCTGTTTCCTAGCACTGATGGTTTCAAAGCAGAACTGAAATTAGTTTCTGCTTCAGAACTGCAGGGGATTCTTCATCCCTGTGAAAAAGGCCTCTGTAGCACGTCCACCTGATGTGCTGGATACTACATGCTGCCCCAAAGCCCTGCTGAATGTATTGCTTCCTGTCAGTATTTCCTTACTCATATTCCTTTGATATTCAAGATTCTAGTTATGCAGCTGGAAAATGGTCTTACCTGATAGGATTGTCCATCCTGTTTACAGTGAGAAATGCTGCTAGGTTAGCTGTATAGGATGAGCATACGATAAGAGTGAACAGCCACCAGCTTCCCATCACAATCCGCATTGCTACAGAATTGACAGTAGATTCACCACCTGAAACATTGAAAAAGAAAGCAAATTCTTAGAAACCTGTACCTGGATTTCATTCTAAATGTCTCATACCTGTCTACAATGACTCTCTGAACTCTTTGAAGATGGCTTGCCATCTGAAGAGGGGAACATCTCAGACCAAAATTCTACAGTGAGAAGCCCCACTCATATGTGCCCTCCATCATTAATTTGCATAGCACCGATATGCAAAATAAAGAATTTTGTATTCACACAGTTGCAGGTGCTCAAGAGACTGAAACATCATCTACCCAAATACAGAGATTGTATGTACCATTTCAGACTGCACTTCTACACGGCTTTTTCTTTTGTGTGGTATCAAAAATTGCCATCCAGTGGGAAAAACTAGTTCCCACTCTTTGTGAGAAGCAGTGGGTAAAGGAGGAAAGCATAACACAAGTAAAGAGTAAGTCGTGCCAATTCTTGCCCTGCAGAACATTAAACAAACTTAGCAATGAAGATAGAAACATTTTTGTTACTAAAATGAAATGAAGTGAATCATGAGCAAGGTGGTAGCATCCTGTTATCCGTTTACACTTTGCTTTGTTTTTCACTGCTTTCTTTCATAAAATCATGCTTCATTCTTTTTTTTTTTTAATATGTTGCCCACTCAATGGTCCTTGTCCTGGAATTCCGAACTACGACTCTGACACCATACCACTGGTGACTGCTAAAAGTGACTGTTTTGTGCTTTGTATTTCTGAATGCCACAAGACAACCATCTCATTCTCGTGGTAGGTGAAGTTTCTCTTTGTTTCATCAAAACAATGTCAGAAAGAATGTCAAAATCTTGGTAAATTTAATCCTCCAGAGCATAATTAAGTGAGGGGAAAGAGTAAAATACCTTTACTTAATCGTCAGCAAAATTCATCTTCTAAAAGGCAACACTAATATGGCTGTCTACATCATTTCCCCCCACTTTTTTCAAGAAAAAAGATTACAGAGCAATCCTGAACTCTTGGTATCGCCTACTGCAGGTATGATAGAGATGTCATTCTCGTGAGAGCGGCAGGTTCCAAAGTGGGGCATTCTAGAGATTCCCATTTCATCTGTTGTTGTTGTTGTTATTTTAAAGGGTTACACATTTGCTCATCCCTGCTTATGGAATGAGCAGGACAAAAATGTGCTCTGCTGTATTTGGAGGATTCACCTTCCATCTTCTGGAAGGTGAAGCAAAAGCTGTAGTTACATTTCCAGCAGTATTTGCACAGTCTGTAAGAAGAAACAATAGGGATCATGAACATAATCTTTCTTCCCCACTTTCCAGCTTCTGCTGTCAGAGTACAAATGCCAGACTAGATGGAATTTGGTCAGATCCAGCAAAATAATTTTAAGCCTTCATGCTTTGTTGCACAATGAAATATTAACAACTATAACCTGCACTCTATATAAGCCTACAGTAGGAGATGAAGCTGAGAACAGCTAATAGAATTCAATTCTTCAAAAGACCACTGGTTTATGATGTGGGATATTCAGTTCAGGAAATGGCCTGATGCTGTTGTACAACCTTGTCGTCACACTGCTAGCAGGAAAAAAAGGATGCCAGGCTGTACATTGCAAAGGGAAGCTTGAATATTGACAACACCAATGGCAGTTGTCAATATGGTCTACAGGATACCTTCTTCTACTCAATATCATTCACAAAGTGACACCAAACAAGGGAAAATCCCCGAAGCTGACTCCTTTTTTCATCACTTCTCAACCAAACACAAAGCAATTGTCAGCGTTGTTTTTCAACAAGTGTGAATGTTTCTTCTCCATTCTTTTTAATAATATTTTTAAATTTTTACAACCAGACACAGAACCACTTTCCCAGCACTAATGCCTGTTTGAGCAGGAAGAAGTTAAAAAGTTATCTTCCTGATTAATTGGGTCCTTCTCAGTTAATTGGGTTCTGACTGACAGGATCAAATGTTGAGATTTCTACAGACCCTGAGCTGATTTCTCCTTGTGTCAAGAGCTTGATTTCAGAAATCCTGAGAAAATGTTTATTGCAAGCACTCATGCTGGGACAAACAGAAACTGCTCTGTGCTTTTGTAAATGCAGAAATGCTTTTAATATGTCTTTCAAAATTATATGCTAATTTCTTGGTGTTACATGGCAAAATATTTCCCTTTCTGGAGGACTGTCACTCCATTATTTTCTTTAAAGCAAGCCTGCTCTCCCCGCCCCCACTTTTCAAAGAAAATCTGCTTTTTGACTTTTCCTGTAATCTTTCATTGCCCTCCAAACCTCCCACTTCCTAGCCAACAAAGCTGCAATAAGGTATCTACTTTACAATGCTGTTGCTAATAAGCCTGTTTCACATATGCTCAGTCTGTAACACAGTCACTGGTTTGCCCTTTTGAATGGTCTTTTTTGAGGATCAATATTTTAGCCCCTGCAACCTGCATTCCTTCCAATTTTTAAGTGGGTGGGGACCCTTGCAAGATAAACAAGATTGGCCTTTTCAATTTATTTGATCTGTTTTAAATCTGGGGACATTTATATTTACTTGTTTCTACATGGGGGAGATAGTTTTACTTTTAAAAACCTGTAAGTCAAAAAAAAACCTTTGCCCAAACTTCCCCCTGTTTGGCACAGAACAAGAGCAGATTGTCTGTTGCAACTGTGCCAGATTTGGTGTTGATCCAAAATCAATTTTCAAAGTTAGAATTTTTGGTTTTTCAGATGGGTTTTCTCCTGGAAGCCCATATTTTTGGGTTTGTTCAGAAATACTGTATAAGGTGTATTTTAAAACAATGCTACAATGTGTACTTAGTGCATTTTTACTAGCAGAACAAGATGTCTAATGTGCCCTTCAAGTAATTATTTACTTGAAAGGTTAGTCTGTGGTCCAGCCTTTTGTTCCAAAATTGAAAAGCAGCAAATAGCTTGTTATCTAAGTACCTTGCTGAACGAAGGCCCCGTACACAATCCAAATGGCACTGTGAAGTGTTGAGGAAGTGGATGCACCAGGCTGGGAAGAATTCTGGGCTCTTACTGCTTGTATTCGGTTCAATACAAAGATGAGAACACCGACAATGGGGATAGCAGCAGCGATGCAGGCCCATACCGCAAAATCAAAGGGAGCAAAGAGAGAAAAGATGTTGATCTTCTCTTCTGGCTTCTTGATTAGGATGCCTACAGAATAATCCATGTAGCGCTTGCTGAAGTCTACAACACTCTCCCGTTCTGGAGTTATAGTGATAGCAGAGATTGCCAAGTCAGCTCTCTGTAAATGAAAACAGAAACAATATAAAGACTGCCAGTATTTAGCATCCTTTTCCCCAGAAAAGGGCAGCAGTGTGAAGCAGACAAAGGTGAAGGTCAGCACTGGTGTCCCTACAGTGTAGTGATACTTTTTAAAGCATGGAAGGGTACCATTTGAGCTCTACATCAAGCAGCATGATGTCTTGGTCAGGAACTAGCTTTGGGCATGCCGCAAGTCTTCCAGCATGCAAAGGAGATTGTGACACTAATAATCACTGGCATCTCTGTGCAGCAGAGATTTTCCAGCATATGATGCAAAGCCCAGAGTGGCACGAGAGACACTTGCATGCCCTGGCAGATATAATTTCATATGCTTCAGAGCCACTGGCATGCTGAGGAATTGTGTCTGGGTATAGGAGTTGCATCTGCCCACTTTACATATCTTTCTAGAAAAGAACCGGATTACACTAGAGAGAAGCAGGTGGTGAATTTATTCCACGAATGTACTTGTCTTTACCAATAGTCATGATTCAGCCTCAGGTTCTTCACAGAGAGGATGATACCTAGTATGAAAGAAGTGAACTAATTCTTCTCTTTTTTTCTCTCCTTTTCCTTCTTCCTCTCAGATGAAAAGGGACTAACTACTGACTGACAATCAATTCAAGCAAAATAATTGCCATACCTGGACTATACATCTTATACAAGGGCATATATGTTTGAATGCTCTATCGTTATGGTACTTTATTGTGGCAAAGTGGTTAAACTTCAGTACTGCAGCCAAAACTCTGCTCAAGTCCTAGGTTAACCCCAGGTAGCCAGCTCGAGGTTCACTCAGCCTTCCTTCCTTCTGAGGTCAGCAAGTTGAGTACCCAGCTTGCTCTTGGTGGGATGAATGTGAAGTGTAGCTTTCATAATTGAATTGTAAACTGCCTAGATAGTGCCTTTAAGCACTATAGGACAGAATATAAGCAGCACACTTTTTTTCTTTATCCACAGAAAACTGGCACTCTAGGAGAAAGATCAACTTCCATCTAGAGCTTGATTTTTTTTAAAAAAACACTTTCCACTGGAAGTCTCTTTATTTACTGTCATAATTCTATTTTCCTAAAGTAACATTTTTTCTGTTTCTCAAAAATAACTGAAGAAGTTAACCTTCTGTTAGGTTTTTCTCCCCTCAAACCCACACCTCAGTGCTACAGGTTATTACCCCATGGAACAGAACTCAGTCTTCTTCAGCCCTTGTTCTTCTTTGTGGTATTTTTCTCCCATTATTTCTTGTAGTCATACCCCTGTAACTTTAAAACTAACAGTTACAGATACTCCAAAAGGAGTGAAGTGATTTCTAGCAAAGTATATCCCTAATTGTAACACCATTTCCCTATACCTTTGTTTCATAGGAGATGAACTAACTACTGTACAAGCAAACACTTATTTTGTAACTGGCTACCTCCAAAATCTGTTTATGACCCTTTTGCCTGCCACACTACTTTCCTGTATAAGAAAGAGGTTGTAAGGAAAATTTCAAATAGTGCTCTATTTGCAAACTGACTGGTAATATTTAGGATGTAAATGTGCCACAGAATTTTCCTGTACATGCAGGTTGACTGTATGAGTAAATAATTTTCCATTCAAAGAACTACTGCACCAAAAGGCTGACTATTTTATATTTAATGCCAGTTTCACTCATGCTTGGTTATGCAGAATAACTCAATGTGGTTTTCAGAGCAAAAAGACATCAAAAAGGAAGTGTACACACACACACACTTGGGCTGAGAAGTCGAGGAATATCTCATTATACAGTACAGTCATTCACAGGTTTCAGATCTTATGTTTCACTTCTCATTTACACCTTAAACTTTCTCCCAGCAGAAACAACAAGTAGCATGGTATAATGTGGAAGACTAAACTATTTAGAAAGGACCATGTTACTGAATATTAATGCCTACAATTTCATCTGATTCCTATAAAAATATTCATCTCCTGCCAGAAATGAAGTCATGTTTCCAGGATTCTGCACTAAAATATATTCTGCATCACTTTAGCAGCATTCACTTAATCCAGGAGAATACAAATGGCTCCAAATCAGATGCAACTCAATCATGTTGAGATTCGTTTTCCATTTCCTACATTTTCAAAGACTGTTTTCAAAAGGCAAAGCTACCTCCCCTTTTGGGAAATCACTCAACCGATCGTTACAAAACAGCATTACTATAAAAAGCATGCATGACAGACATCTAGCACACTTGGAAATCAAGGTGGAGTAGTTTTTAGTTTTTTTAAAAAAACCAGACATTATAGCAGAAAAGATTCTATTAAGCATGCAAGGAACATTTATATTCCACTGTTGTCTGCATTGATTGTGTAACGGTATTGGTGCACCAGAGCTTATAATCATACGGAAAAGTTTTGGTTTTCAAGTTGGCACAAATTTGTTACCCAAGCCAAAATTCAAGCACAATGTAAAATTCTTCCTCAGGTAAATCATTTCCCTTTCAAGGGGACATAGTGTATTGATAAGATTGGTAAATTCACAGTGGGAGATGATACATTCCGAATATTCCACTTTTTAAAAGTAAAGCAAAATGTAGAGATATCTCTCTCTTTAGGTAAAACTCCTAAGAAATTTAAGGATATCCAAATGAGATTCAACTAGACCAATGGTTCCCAATCATGAATCCTCAGACATTCTTAAGACTACAACTCCCAGAAATCCTGCCTAGAATAGCTAATGGTGAAGGCTTCCGGGATTTATTGTTTGTTTATTTATTTAAAATTTTTATTTTAAAAGGACCCAACATCATTAAGTCAGTAGGAGGATATTAGAAAGGATCAAACAAGTACCACACTAAAACAATAAGCAAAAGCAACATGGAAAACACATTCATAGCAGTAAGCCACAACCATCCATTTAAAATTCTCACTCAGGCAGCCAGTCACTAGGGGAAAGCCTGCCTGAAGAAAAAGGTCTTTGCCTGCTTTCAGAAGGACAGAAAAAATGGGACCAGACCGGCCTCTTGTGGGAAGGAGTTCCAAGGTCTGGGAGCAGCAATAGAGAAGGCTCTCTCTTGTGTACCCATCAAATGCACCTGTAAAGGCAGTGGGACTGTGAGAAAGGCCTCTCCTGATGATCTTACCACCCAAGCCACCTCAAAAAGGCAGACTTGCAGTCCAGGAATACCTGGGGACGCCAAGGCTGGCAACCAGTAAACTAGACCAAATTTTTTCTTTTATTCTTTTGCATGTCACCAACAAGGTACATACATCTTTTCTTATTTTGTTCTTATCTATCAGGATTTCTGAAATACTTCAGATATATTTTTTTTGTCTCTCCACTATGTAAAATTTTCTGACTTTTGCAATTGTCACATGTTGGCACTTTTCCTGCACACACAAAAATGCAGAAGTATTTTGTAGGTTGTTTTTTTTAAAAAAAATCCCTCTAAAATCCTTCAGTTTTGTACAAAGATCTTGCATTTTCATAAAGTCAACTTTGTTCACAAAATACAAGTCTGTTGCAAAAAAGAAAAAGAAAGAAAGAAACTTGTCCCATAGGTATTCTTCCCAATGTTGCTGCTGACAAAAAAAATTAAAGGGGCGATCTCCGATAAGAGCAAAGTAACAGCCCACTTTTTTCAACCCATGATCCATCAACAGACAAAATACAAGTCTGTTGCAAAAAAGAAAAAGAAAGAAAGAAACTTGTCCCATAGGTATTCTTCCCAATGTTGCTGCTGACAAAAAAAATTAAAGGGGCGATCTCCGATAAGAGCAAAGTAATAGCCCACTTTTTTCAGCCCATGATCCATCAACAATACTATTTTCCACTGAGCAAATTTGTCAACATCTGTTACTTTCCTAAGCCTTGCTACCACCATCTACATCCTGTTATTAAAAAGGCAGTATTTTGCATATTATTTCCTTGACTCTAGATTGTCATATTTAGGACTCTCTTGGCCAGGCAATGTGGCTCAATATAGTTGCAGTATTACATATTCTCCATTTAGACATCGTTCCTCAGTTATCACTGGGCTCTTTACCTTGTTAATTAGTTCCCCAATCATGCCATTCCAAGAGCTGTTATGGAGCTGTTGGCCATACTTGCCATCCGGAGATTGATATATCTCATACTTGAAGCCCAAGTTCTTTGAAAGTGCATCCAGTACGTCAATGGAAAAACCTTTGTAACGCTTGGGTTGCCCAAGAATATTCTCTGCCACCATGACAAAAGGCTCTTCCTGAGAACAAAGCAAGGTTTAAGGTGATGTTTAAAGGGAATTATCATAAATGCTTAAATCAAATGCATTCAATATTTTCCCCATCTGGGAAAACACTGAGAATTCAGATGTTGCCAAACCTCCAGCACTGCAGCTTCAAGACCTCCAGGGGGGGAAAGGCATGAAAATATTTCTGAGATGAAAGTGAGTAATTTGTTACTCACTCTTTCATTATTCATAATTACTACCAGCCCCAAAATAAATCTTAATAGAAGTTGGCCCCTGAGGTGCTCTTGAAGTTAATGAACTGCAGTTGAGAAGCCAAAAAGAGATTTGGATCCTGTAGGGTGATGGTTTCAATATGACACTGAGTGTGTGCTCAATTGCTGGAGGGATGCCAGCCCTAGTGATTTTATTCCCTTTGCCCTTGGGTAGCGTTACCAAGTGCCACTGTGATCCTCTTGGGGTAGAACAAACTCACTTCCTAGAGGGACAGAAGATACGTTCATGACCCATAACAGCTTGAGGGGGAGGAGAGAATTACCAGTGGGGAAAAGCTTGTCCTAAAGATTTTAGAGAAAGATTATAATTTTCTTTAATAAACTCTGATCTAGGGAAGGAGAATAATCAAAAGTGGGCATAGGGGATGGGAATTGCATTTATCCTACTGAAGAATACAGTCAACATAGATTTGACATTGCAAACAAGCAACTGACATGCCTATGCAATTTTGATAAAGGAAGAAAACATATTGAGGGCACAGTGTTCAGCCCAGCAAACCACATTTCAATTAGGTGCTGCTTTGTAAGATTATTATAGTTGTTCCAACAGCACTGAATTTGTCTAGTAACCCAGTCTTTCTTTTTCGGGAGTTAAAAAACTGAGTCCATGAAGTAGACTTTTACTGTTACTAAATCAGAGATGGCTTCATGGTACAGTGGTTGAACTGCAGTACTACAGTCAAGACTCTGCTCATGGCCTGAGTTCAATCCCAATGGGCTAAGGTAGCCAGCTCAAGGATGATCTCAGCTCGCTGGGGGGGGGAGGGGCAATGTGTAGCCCACATAATTAAATCATAAGCCACCCAGAGAGAGCTTTAAGGGTGGTATACAAACAGCACACTTTGTTTTTAACGAAATTGAAATTGGAGGGAGAAGGAAGTCTGGAAACCTCCAGGAAATCTTATTAGTTATGGAAAATGTATTGGTATATCAGAGCTAGCCAGTGGTTTCTATACTACTCCACTCCAGGCAAGGCATATAATCACACCAGAAGCCTGAGTAATAGTCATTTCGTCTCTCAAAGGATCGTTGGCAACTTCAGTTCTTTCAGTGGGGGATAAGAACTTGTATCGGGGAATTCTCCATGTCATCACCATGCTACAGTTTCCATGATTCTCTAGATCAGTGGTTCTTAACCTTGGGTTACTCAGGTGTTTTTGAACTGCAACTCCCAGAAACCCCAGCCAGCACAGCTGGTAGTGAAGGCTTCTGGGAGTTGCAGTCCAAAAACACCTGAGTAACCCAAGGTTAAGAACCACTGAAGACTCGATGAAGACATCACAATTAAAGTTACACGGAGACTCAAATATCTTTTGTTTCATTTTCACTTTCATTAATGTCAAAAAGCATTTTGTCCTTCAGTATGCCCCTTTGACACTGCATCTATTTTTGTCTTGTTTCTAAGTGCTGAAATAAGGGTAAAACATATTTGAAGACTGCTTTTGAAGGCTCCCAGGACTAAATAGTCTCTGAGCCAGATTTCAGGGTTACCAGCAGGAAGGAGCTCAGCTATTCCTGATCTCCACGGACTGAGCTTGGGAATGCTCCACAGCTGGGTTCACATAAGGCTCAGGTGGAGGGCCTTAATATATGCTTTGTAAACCAGTCCCAGGGAGAGTTTAGGGTAGGCACATTGATTTCATTATTCAAATAAGTACTACCAATATCCACCAGTCAAGTATCCATGCAAAAGCCATACCCTTGGAATTAAAAACAAAGTATGTCAGAGTCAAATTTGAGGCTAGGGGGATATTTTTGGTACTAAAGCTGAACTGAGCTCAAAGTCCTTTTGTTCACAGGTCCATCCTAGTCACAAGATGCTCTTGTCCTAAGTTCTCTTCATTTCAGCAGACCTCCTGCAGCCCACGTGACTGGTAAGAACTCCAGCTGAACTCTGCTTCCGATCTTATTTACAGTAACACAAAGTAGCACACAAAGTAGCCAAGGACAATGCTGAAGCAACAAAGAGCCTTGTAGCCCCTTGAAGACTAACACGTTTTGAATTGGCATCAGCTTTTGTGTACGACAGGCTACTGTTGTATCTGAAGAACTGAGCTACATTCCATAAAAGCTGATTCCACAAACACCTTGTTCGCCTTTAAGATGTCACAAAAATCACTGATGTTTGCAGAGCCAATGCTGCTTTACACCCTTAGTCAAAACATATTATTTTTCTTGCTGTTGTTAAGTATTCTGAGTCCTGAACTACCATAGATGTCTTGGCAGAAAGTTAATCTATCTTTGGATGCATTTCACATAATTTCCAGAAGATCTCATTTCACAGGGACCTCACCATGTAGTATCTGAAAAATGGGAGAAAACAGCTTAGAGTGACTTCTCGTTGGTAGGACCCTTTGTAGCCACAGTATACGTGATACCATGCTCCCGTGGCACAAATGACAAGAGAGTAAACAAAAAGTTTAAGGGGAAAAGAATGAGTTTACAAACACACATACAAAGATGCTAACAAGAATCTGTTCAAGCATTTTTTGCTTCCTCAACTCAAACATGGTCATACCAAGACAGTCACCACTTTCAGTGTTAATCCTTGTAGGTCACTGCCCAAGCGGCGTTCCTGCAGGCTTCCATTCAATCCCTTCTCAGAGTCCCACGTTGCCAACTGAAAAAAGAAAACAAGAGAAGCAACAATTCGTTTTTGTTTTACATAAAATACTTCCAACATCTGTTAATGAGAAAATATGTATAAGAACAAGAAAGACATTCAGAGAATAGACAAACAAGGTGTTTTCTTATCCAGACAGTAATAGCATCATAATTCCATAACTTTAAATGGGTAGATTCACAGAACTCTGCCTCTATTTATTACCTTCTATGTCAATTTCCAAGTATTATTTCAATAAGTCATTTGCAATATATTACTTTCATGCAGCTTTAGCCTACAGCAAATCGTTCCACCCCTTTATTGATATGTCTGCCTATAAGCTTGAAGCTCCATGTCCTCCTCTGTTCTTGTAATTATGCACATCCATTCTCAGGCCCTTCAAAATTGCCACTTTTAAGTAAATCAATGCCAACCTGATGCATCTATAGCAGACCACTCTTCATCAATTTGAACAGTAATGCATTTTTATGTCAGATGTACTATCAAGACAGTGTGGTGTAACTATGTTGGAAACTGTACAAAAACTGAAGTGGAAAGAATTAGTTAAGTGAGGATATAATGAAGAATAGAAACCACAGTTGAATACTCCTCAAGAGGGCTCCGGTCCTGCAAAAAGAATCATACCATTGTAAGTCTGTCAAATCTAAGAATCCATTATAGATCATTACCCACAGGATGTTGCACAAGCAGGCCAAAGGGGTACATCCTCCTAATTCTGTGGCTGTACAATGGGAAAAAATTGCACATTGAACTACATCACTGAGATGGACAGGGATAGTCCAATCCTAGTGTGAGCATGAAGAAATGAATGACACTGTTCAATGAATGAGCTTCTGAGACTGGGCTATGAAAATGTTATTCCTGGGTTCTGGACTGGAAAGGTCTTTCATAATGTGAAAATAGCTGATTTTTAAGCACTGATGACTTGCAAAGCTACAAACTGCATTCAGCAGCAGACAAAGACATATTTTTGAACTGAGTTAAGATCAGGAGTACCTTGAATTAGGCCACTTCATTTCAGTTTTTACATTAATCAAAATCAAACAAAAAGCTATTTTTAAGCATTGTCTCATAGATGTTGCTCATAGCTCATAAGAATTTGAAGTGCAAAACAGGGGGGTGTAGTTTAGGACCAGAGGAAGAGATCAACAAACATGATGAGTGACATCCCTGCTGGTAAACCAGTGTCACACATACATCCGGCAGTGCTGCAACACAAAAAGATACAGTCCTGACATAGGTGCCACAGTTTATCAATCAGGAGTCAGAAGGAGATGATACCATGGAAAATTGCTGTAGGAGGCTGTTGACTGAGCTCTTGTCTACTATGAGGTTTATACAAAAAGTGCTTGGACAATTCTTCTCTTCAGTTTTTGCTTCTGAGATCACAACACACACACACACACCTTTTAAATCCACTCATCCATACAGCTTGTCTCTGTATTTAATTCTGTTCGTTTTGGTTAAGCATAATAGTGCTGGATAATACAGTCCCAAAGTACCTGTACAGAGATACCCAGTGTGGTGAAGAGGACAAAGTGATAGACTAAGGTTCTGAACCCATGGTTTGGATCCCCTCTTCAGCCATGAATTCTCTTACCAGTTCTGCACTGGGGGTGTAGAACCAGTAAGAGACTCTTCAGCCATGAATTCTCTTACCAGTTCCACATTGGGGGTGTGGAACCAGTAAAAGAACTCCTTAAATATCTCACTTACCTCAAAAGCCCTACCAGGATTGCTATAAGTTGGTTACAAGAAGGTATAGAGAGCTATGGGGACTGCTGTTCTTCCAAGGACTCCTGTAATTGCCCTCTGGAGAACTACAACGCCTATTAACTACAGTATTCATTGCCAAAAATAAAAGCTCTCCAATATTCAGAGTGATTTCCAGCCAATCCACTCTCCTTTGCCTTCTGCTTCCCTGCTCACGTGCTGCTGCCCATTTCAGCAAAGAAAAACACTGATGGTCATTGTACTCACACATCCTTTTACTGCTTAATTCACACATTGCTGCTCCTCTGAATCTCAGAGAGAAAGAGAGAGAGAGAAGGAGAGAGAGAGGAGAATACAGTGCTCGCTTATTGCTATTCACTTCTTTAGAGAGAGAGAAATGTTAGATACTAAGCTGATGATCCTTTCCTAGGCAGAGACTAACCACTGTCACATTCTGCTGATGCTGCCTCCCTAGAGAAAGACTGGCGATTGTGACTTCATTATGATGCTGCCAGTTTCAGAGAGGGGGCAGTTCCTTGTGATTTCATATTGGTTTTGCTTATCTAAAGGATGGGGGGGGGAATACAGTGCTCATTGTGACCTCACACTACTGTCCAGTTGAAGGTGAAATACTCCCATTTTCCCATGTCATTGAACCATTTCATGTCAAAGGTGTCACTGGTGCTCTGGACTACACATGGGATTCTCAACTTTCCCTTCCATGTTACAAATTCAAGGTTCAATCCTGAAGACTAGGATGGCTGGTAGCAGGTCTTTCAGAACTCTGGACAGAAATAAGGTGAGCAACAAAGAAATTCTTCATTTTCTGAATGCTCCCTGAATTGGCTGTCCTTCTCTGGTGTCACCCTTTTATTACAAAGTTAAAAGCCTTAGAGGAAAAGTCCTTCCCTGAATTCCATCACTTCTCCATGAGTTCATGGTTGACATCTAGCTTTCTTAGGACACCAGCTCCACAGAAAGACTGAGATAACAAACCAAAATTAAAATTAAAAAATCTCCAGTCAAAATATAAAACTGAAATATGCCTCTGCATACTTCGGTGGACATTCCTAGTTCATATTCTTCCATTTTATTTGTACCCTCTGTGTCCCAGATAAGCATCATTCAATAGTCGACTCTGTATGTTCATGCCATCTGCACAACTATCTGATCAGAACAAAATGTCTGTGGCTGTCTCACTCAACCCAATTTCCTCTTTAAATGGATTGATGAAGAGTATTAGAAGTTTCCCATATTTGAACCATACCCCATCATTTCCCTTCTAGAATAATTTTTTGTTTCATGCATTTGTGGATGAACAATTTGGTGGAGTGTAACATTCATTTAATGAGCTAGGATCTGGTCAGAAAATAAATTTCTACATTCCTCCCACAGTGAATGAGCTTCCCATCACTACCAAAGTGTTCATTTTAAAACTTTGATTTGTTCTTCTCTTACTTCATTTTCTACTTGACTGTTTACATAGGCAAAACTCATCGAATTCAGTTCTGAAAAATACAGAGATGCAAACTGGTGAATCTCTAAAGCACCTTTGAGCTGGCAATGGTTACTCAATGTCCATCCAGAAGCAGAACATTGGAACATTACTCTTTTGGAGCCCAGCTCCCAAGAATCTATAGGGAGCACAGACATTTGTTGTGCTAGCTACTGAATCGGGCAGCTCTGAAGACAATAATTTAGAAGCCAGTTCTCCATGCTGTTGAATTTAATCAGCCACTGAGGAATGATCAAAACCAATCAGTTCCCAAATATAGTTATATCACCTCCTTATTATATACTTCCTAAAGTGTGAAAAATACAGTGTACTGCATGAAGAGAAACTCAACCAAAGGGATGTTGAAGACTACATGAGTAGCTGAAGGAGGGCCTCATCAGTCCTACCACTGGCATTTGTTCTCCTAGGAAATATGGTAGAGTCCTTCATTTTTATCTTGAAAAGTGTTAGCAAAGCCTTTTCTGTGCTTTTAAGTTTGTAATTCTGTTCCACCAAATTTCTGTGGTGGGTTTTTAACAACTTGTTTATGTGCAAATTTGTTGCTGCTGTCTGGGTTCTTGCTTTTATACTTCTGTATATTGTGTTGTCTATCTTGTTGTTAGCTGCCCAGAGTGGCCTGGTTGCCAGATGGTGCGGGGTATAAATCCTATTTATGATGATGATGATGATGATGATGATGATGATGATGATGATGATGATGATGATGATGTGTTGTTTTCATTCCTGCAACCTGCTCTGAGTCTCTCATAATGGAAATGTGGGGATAGTAATCATGATGACAAGAACCATCTAGCTACAATGTATGGTGGTGAGTGCAAGAGATTTTCCCATCTGAGTTTCAGATGTATAAATACGGGGGGGGGGGGGAGACCCACATGATCCAAACCATTCATGTACCTGCAAATGTACACACATTCCTTAGCAAAGTGCAAACCTGCTGGAGAAATCAGTTGCTATGCTGCTAAACATATATGGAAGGCTATCGAGACTAATGGTATTGTGTACTGATTACTCTTTTACTAGGGTTTTCCTTGAAATTTGCCCAAGCCAAGGACATATCAATATTTATTAAACACAGCAGTGTTGTTATAGTGACATCATATAGATTAATTTTATTCAAAACTCATATACAAATTTGTTTCCTCAGTGAGTTCCAAAACCTGAAGCACCACCGCTCAAACCCATCCAAATGAGCTTTCCTCTTCCATTGTTTCTATTCTTTCCTTCCCACTATGGACAAAATTCAGTTCTCTTGAGCTTGGAAAATTTAATCACGCCCAATTGCACTGAAATCACCAAAAGAAGGTAGTCATTACAAACGTTGGACGGCTTGAACCCCTTATTTTCAAGACTAAACGTTTGCTGCATTTGAATAAAATCTGAATAAATTCAGCCCCAAGACTGAGACTTCTTAAAGAGGGACTGGAAATCAGCCAACATAAGGAAAATTCTCTATTATGTTTGATTCAAAAGAAAGAAAAGAACTACAATTTGCCTTTTGCATATTAAACAGTTTGATGTCCAAGGAGGAGGGATATTTCTTGAAGGCATTTCTACGGTTTTGACTTATTTCACACCAGCCAGCAAACTGAAGTCTGTTTTGTATTCAGGGATAAAATTCTAAAGTGTATACATACACACACAATCAAATTAATAATGCCGATACAATTAATAAATGGGACATGAAGAAAACCAGAAAAAAGAAAAAAGACTTTTTCTTCAGACTCCAGCTATTCCATTTGTTCATAAACACGTCGATTTTGTTTTG